TTCTCAGCAGAAATAAGTATTTTCAGACAAAGGGGAAGTGAAAGTAAAAATTATAAACGTTATATTGATTTACATTTCATTGTGGATATTTTTATTTGTTTAAAAACCCTTATATATACAAATATTAATATTTATATCGCTGTAATCTATACAATTAAATATTAAACAATACCAACGAAAACATTTAGGAAAACCGCATATGTATATGTACATACGATTGTCGGAGTCTGTATTAGATTAAGCTCATGTTACTATGGAAGCCTGTTCTAATCTTCGGATGAGCTCGGGCGCGCTCGTATCCCTTTGGTTCCTTCATTACAACTATTCTCTGTTACAATATCTTATTTCTTTTTTAGTTAATCACCAAATTCTTTCATATTTTGTATTTAACTATCTTATATATTATTTCTCAAATATGTATCCCTTTTCAGGGATACATATTTAACTCTCAAGAGTGATGGATTTTGACGAATGAGGTATCAATAGAGAATATCACGTAGAGTGTGCAAATCGTAATTTTGATTCCTAATTTTATACCTGGACTTAAATATAAGTAAATGTAAAAGTGAGAGGTTTCAAACCATATGATGGTCCCATCTCAACGAACCGAAACATTACAAATGAATTCATAATTTGGGAATAACTCGAAAAAGGCACAATTTTTGGTCCATTATACATATGAGTATTTGAAAGCTTACTAAATTCTCTGAAAAACCTAAAAAAAAAAAAAAAATCATCCAAATAGATGCATCTCACAAATCCACCAAACACGAATTTTCATAGCAATAAAAAAATAATTTTTTTTTTAAATCTGAGCCAAGGAGGGCACATCACATCACAAGGAATGCAGCCTTGTTGTGGTATTTATGTTATCACATTTAGACTTCAGATGACGAGCACCAAGCCTGCCCCAGAACAGTCTCAAAAGGAAATACCAAGGGCTGGATCTTCAAAAGAGGGTGATTCTAAGGGCACTCCCTCTTCTACAAGGAGTGCATCGGGGTTAAGGTCGAGGCCGTCAGCCGTGTCAGGAGGTGGGGCCTAGCCAAAGGAGCCAGTGAAAACTGAATGAAACTAAGCGAATCCTTGCCACTTTCATGGACTGGGGGCTAGACATCGGCTTCTAGGCACTCCTCAAAACTGGGGAAAAAGACGAAAGCAGGGTCGAGCGGCAGGGCAAAACCAAAAGATAAGGTGAAAACTGAGTCTGATGGTGAAACTCTACCATCGACTGCGTCAGGAAATCTACCTCCCCCGTAACAAAAATTAAGAAATATGATACTGCTGCAGATCAATATCCACCACAGCATTACAATAGTACATTAAAGGTAAGGATATACATATTATTCTAATACTTGAACTTTATCTATTTAAAGGCAGGATCACGGGCTTAGGGATACCTGGATGCGGAACTATTTCTGTGTCCACCAACCCCAGGGCCTGCCTACTATACAAATATAAATTAAAATTGCTACCTCTATGACAATTCTTTTCTAAAGATCTTGCAGCAGCCAAATATAACCAGCAAGGGGATGGAAAATCCAATATCATAGTAGCATGATATCTGCCATATTAACATCAGGAACCTGCAGAAGGAATCCTAGGCTGCAGTGACAGTATTTAGTTACTCTAGATGTTAATGCACGCCATGAGATCTAGGGGAACTCAAACACTAACTCTAGAGGTGAGAAACATTTGGAGACTATTATTAAATATGATCTTGACATTCTAAACAGGGAAAACAAACCCATCTTTTATAATAGAGTTAGATCAGAGATCATAGACATAACACTGGTCAGTCAAGTGATCCGTGTCCTTATCAATAACTGGCATGTTTCCGATGAAGAAACATGCTCGGATCATAAGTATATCAGATTTGCCATATCTGACAGAATATAATACGATGTGGAATTTAGGGATCCTAAACTTACAAATGGGGAATCCTATAGCACTAACTTGGAATCAGCTATTAATTGTCCGAGTACATGACAATTAGAATATCTTAATACATTATTAATTGACGCTGTAATTACATTATATCTGAACAGTAATGATGGCAAAAAAAAACTATAACCAGCAGGATGGTTTCGTGGTGGAATGGTAATCTTTCAAAGCAAGAAAAATTACAAGAAGATTGTTGAATACTGCTAAAACATGTGGAAAATTGGGATACCTATAAGAAGGCTCTTACAGAGTATCAAAAATCTGCCAGGAAAGTCAAAAGACAAGCCTGGAGAAGGTTCTGTCTGGAGGTTGATAATATTCACTACACAAGATCGTGGTGCTGATGTATGTATGAAGGACTTGGCAAAGAGAGTTACTACAAACAGCAGACTTGAATGGGCGGTGCATTCACTCTCTCTGTTTAAATCTGCTGGCACTGCTGCAGAAGGGTCTCTCAGTGATAAGATAAGGCCATATCTCTTAGAACTATTAAGAGGTAGCTTTGTGCTAGGATATCTACCAATTAAATGGAGGATATCTAATGTGCGCTATATTCCAAAACCTGTTAAGGAATCTTATGAAGATCCTAAGGCATTTAGATCAATATGCCTGTCATCCTTATTAATTAAAACACTGGAGAAGTTATTAGACAGGCATATCAGAGAATACATATTGGCTACAGGTCCAATACACTAAAAACAATTTACCTACCAACCAGGAAAATCCTGTGAGGTGGCACTTCACAAGTTGTTACAAGAATCGAAAAATCCTTAGAACAGAAAGAAATTATCAAGGCGTCTTCATGGATATCGAGGGTGCCTTTGATAGAACCACTAATGAAATAAAAGATGCGTTAAGGAAGAGAGATGTGGACTCTATGCCTTCAAGATGGATTACAGCACTTACTGGGAGGTACAGCACTTAGTAATCTTGCTGAGCTTAACAGAGTTGCAATCGAGTGGGTACCTGATCATTCAGGCATTCCCGGCAATGAAGAGGCTAAACTTACCAGATTAGGCTCAGATACTATTTCCGTAACTGCTGAACCTGTTTGTGGGGTCAGCCTTAGTACAGCCAAAATAAGGATCATTGTGTTATATGGTGGAAAATTTAAACAATACTGGTCTGAGAAGGAACAACAGCACTCGAAGCTGTTCCTTACTAGACCTTGTAATAAAAGAAGTAAGCTACTACTGAGCTTGGATAGAACAGCCCTTAAAAAACTTACAGCAATCTATATTGGTCACTTTAAGTTACTACCAAATGTTCAATATCCAAATGACTAGGAACCCTCTATGTAGATTCTGTCATGAGGAGAATGAAACAGCCTTTCATATCATATCTCGATGCGATAAGTTTGAAAAGCTTAGACTTGAGTTATTTGGGGGAAGACCGAGTGGATAACTCCAGAAGCTATGAGTCCATTAATCCTTTAAGGCTCTTAAGATACACAAAAGCGATCAAACTAACATTTTAGTAGTAAAACAGACGAAAACACATGGTGCTCAATAGATCCTCAAGGGTCGCAGTGCCTCATGCCAACAGGAAAAAAAAAGGGGGGGGTGAGCAACATCTTAAGGTTTTTTAAAATAAAGTATTGCACAAAATATTCGGACTGAAGAAAGATGAGTCAACCAGAGAATTAAGACAGTTGTACAACATTGAATTGTGCGAACTGTACCGGGTAAATATAATTGAGATGATTAAGTTGAGGTGAATAAAATGGGCATGTAAAATCACTAGACCTAGTAACAAAAGAATTCCTAAAAAGTTAATATGCGTTTGCCAACTGGCAAACGTCCGAGGGGTAGACCAAAGCGAATGTGGGAAGATTGACAATATAGTTCATACCAATTGACAATAAATCTGGCCAGATGACCTATTAAAATAAAGAATAACTAAAATCTAAGTAATAAAATAAGTATATACATAGCTTTGAGGACATATTAAGGAAAGCAGACAAGTATTGTGATCTACCTATGAAATGATAGATTATGAGCAGATAAAAAACAAAACAAAATATATAAGTACACACACACACACACAGGAGTGTGCAGACGAGAGGTAAAAAATAAAATACTTTTAAATAAAATAAAATATACTTCAAAAATATAATCTTATGAATAGAAAAGGTAGAAGGTAAGAAAAATGACAAAAAAAAAAGTTATACCTACTCACAATGCTTTGTGAAAGGTGATCGAAATTCTGTTTCATACTCAAAACAGAAGAAAAAGAAAATGTATAAAAAAAATTAAAACCTTGTTACATAATATATACTTAGCCAGTGTCTGATTGAATTGTGTAGAGGAATTCGAATAAGAGGGTTTTAAATGTGGATAAGGATGGTGCATGGCGGAATTTTAGTGGGATGAAATTCCAGAATGTAGTGGAACAGACAACAAAGGAATGTTTAAATGAGGTAAATCTATGGAAAGGGGTGTAAAGATCAGAAGGACGTAATCTTGTGGAGGGGGTGTGGATTGATGACTTCAATTGTAGGAGATTGCCTAGGTTTTTTACTGAGGATCTGAAGGTGATGGGATGGTCATTTAGGTATAGGACAGAACGTTAATATTGGATCTGAGAAATGGTTTGGAACCAATGACAACGGCTTGAGTTTTGGCAGCGTTTAAACTTAATCCATTTAAGTTTTCCCAAGCAGTGATCCGAATTAGATCTTCTTGAATTTTGGCAAACGCATCATGCAACTCGGAGTGAGAGAAGGAAAAATAAATTTGGGAATCAGGTGCGTTGAGAAAGGAAAGATAGAAATCAAAGGACTAGACAGCATTCAGTAAATGGAAGAATGTATGACATAGATTAGTAATATTGGTATCGAACCTTCAGATTCGCTAAGCCTTATTATTATTATTACAATACCCACTGTCTACCACATTGTCAATAAAATTAAACTGTTACTGAAATAATATTGTCATAGATCATTATTATCATTTTTTTTATTTATTATCTTTTACAGAGATTTTCAATGGCACAAAAAAAAAAAAAAAAAGGATACGACATGAATCATAACACAATTATTTAAAAACAAATCTTACCAACTTCCCTGTCATTTGGTTATACGGAATCATCAAGAATTCTTTTGTTTCCTTGTTGTACATACAGTATTGCTTGGTCCAAGTAGTACCAAAAGCTTCTGAAAAAGTAATAAAACATAGGCCATTAGTATATACTACAAAAACTAAACAAAAGCACGCAACAGCTTTGGGGAGAGAGAATTAAACAAATAATGAAGTTGGGGTATTTAAGATATATATAGCATATTATCAGGGTGGTAGATGGAAAAATACTGCTAACACAACTAATTTACAAAACAAGCAGGAGAGACCATGATGGTTGGATGTTGTGGAGAGAGATTTTAATAACATCCTAGGAGTAAGAAACTGGCAGGCATTGGCAAAAAACATGAAAACTGGAGGAAGGAGAAGGGCCCATTCACTGAAACCAGGTTGTAACACCATCCTAATAAATAATAATAATTAATTTTTGGGGAATGTTAAAGTTACACAGAATATGAAACTCACTAGTCTCAATAGAATTCTTATTATAGTCAGAGTTGATCATTATATATATATATATATATATATATATATATATATATATATTTTTTTTTTTTTTTTTTTTGTTTCTTACTCAATCTGAGTTAATCCTATGTATTGATAACCCTTTCTCCTTCTCTCATACCATACAAGGTCTGGATGCTCATCAATCTCCTTGTTTTTTTTAAATTATTGCAAGGCTTTAGCTAGAGGCGATTAGCCAAAATTTTAAATAGAAATTATTTCTAATGGCTATTTAGCTGAATCATAAACTATAGACATAATTTGTAGACAGGGCATCACCCTGTCTTACACCCCTTCTCATAGAAAATTCCTCCGAAACGTTGCCGTTTATTTTAACAACACACACCTCATCCATTGTTAACTTGGTCAGCCTGATAAGCTTGGAGGGGATGTTGAACTGGCGTAATGTATCGTATAGCTTTTGATGGTCGATCGTGTCATAGGCTAATTTAGAATCGACGAAGAGGTGGTGAGTTTTGAGCTTATATTCCTGTCCCCTTTCTAAGATAGTCCTCAGACAGAATATCTGGTCGATCCTTGACCTTCCTTGTCTGAACCCGCACTAGTACTGTCCAAGCTCTCACTCCGCAAACGGCAATAGTCTATAGAACAGGATGTTTGATAAAATGTTATATGCGCAAGGGAGCAGGGCAATACCACGATAGTTTGAGCATTTAAATAGGTTTCCCTTCTTGTGGATCGGGCAAGTGACTGTCTTCTTCCAATCTGTTGTCATTATTTCCTCAGTCCATATGCTCACCAATAAGATGTGAAGGAGCTTGAAGAGATCATTACCTCCATGCTTGAGTGGTTCTGCAGGAAGTCCATCAATTCCTGGGGCCTTATTATTTTTTAGTTTGTTGAGGGCTTCACTGACTTTATTTTTCATCAGGTGGTTCCAGGTCATCTGTTCCATCCTGACTGAAGGGCAGCTCCGTCCCTTGGCTATCTATGCTTTGACCGATCAAAAGCTCCTTAAAATATTTTCTCTATTCTGCTAGGCAGGCCTTTTCCTCGGATAGAAGAATTCCATAGGATGACCAATCCATACACATTGAAGGTATTTATTTGAATGGTCTCTTAGTGGTATTAACTTTATGATAGAACTTCCTGATGTCTCCAATGGTCCTTGATTCCTCCATGTCCTTCAATTCTTGGATAATTCTTTCTCTCTTTTTTCCCTGATGCAGCCTCTTTTCTTCCCTCCTTTTCTTCCAATAGTCTTCGACTGTACCACATGGTTAAACCTGGTCAAAGGTGTGCCTGTTGATCATTAGCTGGTATGCTGCATTTTTAACTTCTGTAGCTATTCGACAGTCTTCACCAAACCAGCTTTTCCCATTTTCCTTTTCAGCATGCCCCAGTATGGCTTCAGCGGTTTCAGCAGTAAAATGCAGGACATTATCTAATTTCGAGAGAGAGGCTATTGAAACAAGTAGTAGTCAAATGAAAAGGTTTTTGTCTATAAAAAATATTTAAAAAGTTACTAGATTTTATAACACTAACCATGATTATCCATAATGGTGTAACAAATAAGAGGCCATTAACATCAAAGTTACAGAATAACATTGAAATTTGAAGGATTTAAGGGATAGTAAATTAAACAAACAACAATAAAAGGAAAGATTTAATCTTAAACCCATAAATAAATAATTCATAAGGGAAAATATCAGATTTCTTTAACCTAAGGTGCATGTAAACAAAACAATGTTAATTCATACTAAATATTTTTAGATTTAAATTTTTTTGTATTTTGGTTAGACATTATATCATTGGCCTCATTGTGCAACATTATGCTGAGTTTGCCAAAATTTACCCTTATGTAATATCTAAATTAAAACTTAACTAAACTTAGTTTCTAAAGGATAACCATTCATTTAGAAATATAATTTTGACTTAACAGAATAAAATGAAATAGGTTGTAATAGTTAACAGAACCTTAATAAAAAATGTGTATAGAGTAGCAAGTTAATCCAGAGGCTCTAATAAGCTTTAAAAGAAAAATAGAACAAACAAAAGAATAAATGAATTTCCTTTACTCTGTCTTATATTCAACCATAAATAATTTCAAGTTCTGGTTGCGAATGTAGTAGCTAAGTTATGATGTATGTATACAATGTAAATAAGCATGAAGATAAATTTAATGTCCATTGTATTTGTTCAGTATAATAGCCAGTGGTAGTGCAATTGATCAAATTTAAATCAAACAATAGGAATCCAACCTAATTCAAATATGACTCATTGACATTTACTTGAAATGTAGGGATTAAATTGAAAAAATAACTTACTTTTTTCCATAAGAAACAAGTAACCTTCTCTGGCATTAGTTTTTTGGGCACTACCAGCATCAACTGGTTTCTGAAAAAAACAAACTAAAAATCTGAGAAAATGATACATAAAATTGGGTAACAATTTCAGTTTCAATTAATATTTTATTTGAATAAAAAAATTAAAATTTATTAATTTAAAAAAAATTCAGCTATTCAATCAAATTAGTACTGCAATAAGTTCTAATCGATATTATTTGTTCCCAAATACAGAAAATGTGAAGTTACCAGAACGCGTTTGAAATGATTAAGGTGATAATAACAATAGTGGAAGATATTTCATGAGCAGTCAGAAACACGAAAAAATTGGACTTCACCTGTGTCTGATGGAATCCAGAATAATTGGATTAAAAGATTTTGTTACTTGGATGAATTTTTTTAACAAGGATTGCCAGGCTATACTGGATGACAAGCTGATATCCCCTTTTGGTTTCTTTGAGGGCATCACTTATATGCCTCCAAAAAAAGGATAAATTAAGCCTGCGTCTTGAAGATTGCCAACCAATAACATGTTTAAGTGGTCTGTATAAAATTCTCACCCCTATTCTGGAAACTAAGATACATTAAACACCTGGAATTTCTGAACAAGCTTCTGTAGCCCAAAAATCTACCTGATCGCAGGCGAAGGTTTGATTGTAAATTACGAAAGTATATGTTATTCTGAGTAAAAAGAACCTTGTCTGCCGTTCCAGAGCCCATGCTTTAAAAAATAGCGGCTGATTGAAAGAATATTAGGTCTGTAATTTGAGGATCGAAACAGGAAATCCATTGCGAAAAATGTGGGAAAAGTTTTTATTTTTTTAACTTGTATATATGAGTTTAGACATGTAAAAAACAAAATTGCTAACGCGGGCCACCGCGGGAAAACTTTTTGCAGCCAAAAAAATTAGAATTTTTCAAAATTTTTTTGTTTTTTCAGCTATAACTCCTAAATAATGCATCAAAGAGGAAAATATACATTTTAATAAATTAAAGAACGTTAAATTTTTCGTCGAACGAGTACATAAACTTTATAGTTTGGTTACCTTTTAAGGTATAAAACCACGGTCAACCAATGCTGATTTTTACCAAATTTGTCAAAAACTGACACAAATTACTATAAATGCAGCTAAAATTTGGAAATGGGTTCCCTAAGAGGAAAAACCCATAGAATCAAAGTTGTAGAGCATCAAATTTTGCGTCTGCTGAGTACTAACATTTTCATTGAAAGTCAATTATATATCTCGAATCATTATTCTTTTATGAAATTCAGTATCTTTCGACACATCGTTTATCAAAATCCTTCGCTGCTGAGAGGTGGAAAAGAGGCTTTTACAGCATGTAACAGCCTCTAAACAAAAATAAGTAAGTAGAATAGACACCCATACTGTTAAAATATTAAAAATCATATTTACCTTCATTTTCAATTTCCAACCTTCGGGAAATTACCGATTTTGTTCAGAATAAGTTAATTACATTAAATTAGTTGGTACTCAACAGACGCAAAATTTGATGGTCTACAACTGTGATTCTATTGGTTTTTCTCTTAGGGAACTCATTTCCAAGTTATAGGACCATTTATAGTAAATTATGTCAGTTTTTGACAAATTTGGTATAAATCAGCGTTGGTTGACTGTAGTTTCATACCTTAAAAGGTAATCAAACTATAAAGTTTATGTAGTCGTTCGACGCAAAATTTAACGTTCTCAGGGTGGCTACCAAATTGTCAGAATAAAATTTCCTGACTTTTCCCTGTTTAATGAAAGTTTTCCCTGACCAATATGTCAAGGGACACAAATGTTAAAATATATAGTTTATAAACATAACTATATATATATTATTTATAACTATTTAATTTATCATACATGATTGAAATTGAAAGATTAGAGTAAAAAAAGTTTGTTCAGTCTTTTTAAAAAACAATATAATTTCAAGAGGAAGCATTTTTTAAACATCGTTAGGATTTTTATTTTAGAAAACTGAACTTAGGTAATTTATTTTTATCGCCTGTTTACTAATACATTAAGCACCTGATTTTCATAAAGTAAGAGAATGTAAAAGTTGATACTTGACGCTTTTATCTATTATGAAATAAACTGAGCTACATCTATTATTATTTTAATGTAAGGCAATTTAGTTTTCTTATTGCCACAAACAGAACAATAAATGTCCATACGATAATCGAGTAGTTCAATCAATGAATGATTACAGAAGGAAATGGCAGGGACACAATTTTTGACTTAAATACTAAAAGTCCCCACTACTAGATGGTAAGCCAGGTGGAGGGGGAGGGAAGCCCCTAGAAGGTCACATTTTTCGGGGTTTCGCTTATATCAGGAAAACTATATATCACATCAACAAAAACGTTTTATACAAAATTAAAGCTGATAAAATTTTCAATACGATTGATTCTATACATTTTTTCGCTACGTCGCTTAGTTAGAGAGATATCTATCTTCAACTATGGCGAATTTTGAAGAAAAATAAATTTGAGTCTCCACCACTTCTTTCTATTACTCCCTTTTTGGGCATTCATTGACTGGACCTGAGGGGACTAAAGCCATGTAAAATACATGTTTCCTGGCAACATTATAAACTCAAGTTTACATGATAAAATAATTATGAGTTCGCATCCGGGAACCGGGGGAGTTTCCGTTTTCCACCAAGGAAAAGCTCCGTATAGTCTCAATGTCGAAGGGGTGGACCCAAATAAAAAAACGCCACAAATTATTTCACAATGGTTTATTATTTCTAAACAATTATATATCTAAAGTAACATTACCTTCCTAGTTACAAAGAAAAATAAATAAAAGGTGATTCCAATTATTGGACTAAACTTTTTTTTTAATAATTAGTAATATGCTAAAAAAAAAAAAAGCATTACTTCATTAACACATTAAAAATTTAAAAACCAAAACAAAGGATATAACATTTACAGAATAACATATAAAAAAATCTAGAGACCATATCTTTGATCTTTGCTCCTAATTGTCTGATTTTAACGATTTTTTTTTTTTTAGGAAATTCCGTAAACTTTTAAAAAACCATTCGATGAAATTTCCTTCATTTTTTAGAAAATATAAATACCTTTGAAACATCCTATCACAATATCGACAAAAAAGTGTAAACTTTTTGAGTTATTCGGAATTTAATTTTACTCAGTTCTGGGCATGCGCTTGATTTGAATACCCACATTTCACGTCGTGTCCCACAGTTTTACTATTTTTTTTAGTAGAATAAGTGCTCAGTTTTACTTAAAAAAAAAAAAAAACTAGTTAAGCAGACATCAAAACAACAACAATGGACTAACACCACAGTGAGTAGTGTTGTTATTTACTGTGTACTATTACAGACAGTGAATTTAGTGGTTTAGCGTCTATAGGCTTATCTCTATAGCCATAACAGCTGACGGCTCCCCACTCCAGTTGTGGCCCAGCCACGTAACTGACTGGTTCACAGTCGGTGGTTCATCCATTATAATAACACGCAGACGTAGTTTTATTTATTTTTTTTTCCCCTTTCTTTTTTTTTTATATGCGATATTACCACCAAGTAATGTTAACTAAGAGGTCCCATTCAGTTGGCTCTACCCCTCGTAATTCACCGCCTAAACAGAAAACACGTCGTAGTAAGCGATTAACACTCCCCGGAACTCCTCCAGCGAACACTCAAGTATCTGTGTCTCAACCACTGCCAAGTACGTCTTCACAAGAAATGGAATCTCCATTTTTTACACCTAATTCATACCAGGTGCTTGAAAATGACAGGGAAGAAATGGAAGATGCACCTATACCCCGAGAACCACGCCCACCTCCTATCTTTGTCAAAAATTTGAGAAATTTCCAGTTGTTGTGTACTCAACTTAATAAAATCTGCCCAGGTAGCTATACATGCCTAAACAGAATAAATGATACAAAAATAATACCGGCCACACCTGAAGCGTACCGAAAAATCGTAAAATATTTAACAGACACAAATGCGGACTTTCACACATACCAGTTGAAGCAGGAAAGAGCACTACGAGTTGTAATAAGAAATTTACACTCCTCAACCCCAACAGAAGTGATTAAAGAAGAGTTAACGGCGTTAGGGTTCAAAATACGTCAGATAACCAATGTATTAAAAGAAAATAAAGAACAACCAGGTGTAAAGAATAAAATCCCATTGCCCTTATTTTTCGTCGATCTAGAGCCATCGCCTGGGATCGAAAAAATATACGATGTGAATAGAATTTTCTACACCAGCGTAAAGGTCGAAAAACCGTACCCAAAAAGAGAGTTCATCCAGTGCCATAATTGCCAAGCATATGGCCACACCAAGTCTTATTGCCACCACTTACCACGCTGCGTGAAATGCGGTAAAACACACAAGTCTGGCGAGTGTAATAAACCAATTACAGAACCAGCAGTCTGTGCCCTATGCCTGGAAGGCCATCCAGCCAACTACAAAGGCTGCCAAATTTATAAAAATCTTAAAGCGAGATATGTGAAACCCAGGGACCCTGATGATACACCTAAACCAAGAAGAGGACCCGCTAAAATTGTGAACTCTAAGGTTTCTTTTGCCAAGCTACTTGGGGGTAGAGACCCGACTAATGAATGTGAGGCCCTGCCGCAAGAACAAACTCAACCCCAATCTCAATATCCTATCCCACCTAATGTACCTAATCAACAACAACCTCACCAACATCAAATCCAATATGTTCCTCCACCGCCTAATGCTACAGATCTAACCAGCTTATTGACATCCTTTCTTTCAGAATTTAAATCCCTTGTTACCCCACTGATATCACTTCTCACTAACCTAGTATCTCACCTTATCCCTCCTTTAAAAAATCCTTAAATGACTTCCATCAAACCCATATCCATTCTCCTTTGGAATGCGAATGGTGTTAGAAATCACATACACGAACTAACAGCCTTACTACAAGACAAGAACGTAGATGTAGCCCTAATAACGGAAACTCGACTGACTAAAAAACAGCTCCTAAAAATACCACAATACATAACTTACCGTACCGACCATCCTGACGGTAGAGCACATGCCGGTACT